GGGATGGCAGAAATAGCTAAGACCAAGGACACACAGGTACTTGCTAACATGGGAACACCTTTTTGCAGTTACATTCTTAGGTCAAATAAATCAAATAGCTAGGGGTACCCTGGCCCCAATGTGAGTTCTACTGCATAACCCTTGACTTTGGTGTTTTGGGTTCCTGGTATCCTATACCCACAGCTGACCTCTCCCCTTGACTCCACTCTGCCCCTTTAAGCTTCCTCCTGGTAAGTTACACACTGGGAATCAGGCATCAGACTGGCCAGACCTGAGGGCCCTAAGCTGCTAGCTGGTTCCTGAAGCTCACTGCCACCTGCCCACCCAAACTGGATGGGGGGACCCAGGAACTGCACATGGGAGCCCTGAGGAGGAGCTGGATTTATTTGATTCATAGCTTTGGGAAACAGAATCCACTATAAGTATGTTATTAATGTATATATAGCGTTACTTAGTCATATTTCTGCTTTGGTGAATCCTTCATTCATGTCTTTTTATTGTGCTTTTATAGATTTCAGCACTCTTTGTGTATTAGAGATATTTATCCATTTATATAAATTTTCAAATATTTTCTCCTGTTGGTCTTTTTTTGTGTGTTGTGGTGAATTTTGAACCATTTTAGAAATTTGTATAGATTTTTTTTTAGTTATCGAATCTATCAACCCTTCTCTTTAAGATTTCTGAGTTTTCCGTAACCTTTTGAAAAAGCCTCTTCTGCTTTAAACACCACGACTCCTTGCTGGTAGCAAACCGAGTACTGGCTACTTGGATTATAAGACCGAGGGCATACCCTGAGAAAGCAGGTCACATCTAAAGAAGGCTGGTAAGAGCAGGGCAGAGACAGCAGAGGGTGGAAGCAGACATGAGCTACCCTTCGAGCTCTGCCCCACTAGCTAAGCCGTGTGCCTTGGTGCAAGTCCAAGAGCTTTTATGTTCCTAAGCCTGTTTCCTCACCTGTAAAAGGGTCTTTGTGGGCATGATGACACCCAGAAAAATTCAGAGGCCAAAACTAGGAGGAACGTGAGGGATTATTCTTAACTCAAACACCTTGTGATATAGCTGGGGAAACTGAGGCCCCTGGAATCCAATAACTTGCCCAAATGACTGATCAAGGGCAGCCAGACCCCCGGCTTCCTAGCCCAGCACCCCCTCCTCTGGCCTCTCTGGCTTTCAGATACAGGTGGAACTGGGCTTCCTTACTTCCCATGGCCTCCCAGGTGGCTGAGGCAGAGGAGTGGAGGAATCTATCTCCTTCCATCCCTCTCCTCATCAAAACTAATTTAAGCCCTAGCCCTGGGAACCGAATCAATGGGCCATTAACTCCTTCACTGCTGGTCCAATCATCCTACCCACCCCCCACCATGACCTACCTCTCCCCCAGCAGGCACATCCCCAAACATCCCTAGTGATAGACAGTCCAGGTCCCTCAGCTAATCCTGGCTTATTGAGGGCAAGGCTGACTGTCTGCAGTGTAAGGCATTGGAATTAGCAACTCTGAGGCTGTCGTATGCCAGGCCCTACTGGAGGAGTTGAGAAAGCTGCTTTCTAAGCCAACCAAAGCCCTGCCTGCAAACGTTGTCCACCAATGTGTGCACCCCAGCGGTGTTGGGTGGGCTAACAAACTCTCCAAGAGTAAGCCAAACGGTGAGTAAGTGGCCAGCTCTGCCGCCAGCCTACACAAAGTGTATTCAGAAAAGTGAACTCCCTCCCCAGGGTTCATCTCACCCCCAGAGACAGATCTGTGGGACCTGAGACTTAGAGGGGTTTCTTCATTACCCACAGTTTGCTCCCCCACATGTAACCCAACATGTGCATTTTCTATTCCCTGGTAATTTCCCCAATGCAGGCCTGGGAGGGTGGAGGTAGGGAGAGGGCATTGGTCCTGAGACATGTCTCTGAGGGACACCTGAAGATTCTCATCCTGACTAGGCAGGAAAGAGGGGAAGGCAGAAAAGCTGGTCTACCTAACCACCTCCTGGCCTCCCACTTGGCCCCAGGTCTCTCTGGCCCTGGGCCCAACCTGCCCAGTGGGCACCAGCCTGGCAACTAGCTGGCCTCCTGCCCAGAAGCAAAGCATGAGCAGTTCTCTTCAAACCCCCTGAAAATTTCATTTCCTAGAAAGCTGTCTTGCAAGGGGAGGTACAACTCATGGTCTGCTCGGCATGTCTGGTTGGGCTCCAGGGCTGCCAGGGAGTCAGAGAGAGCTCCTGGGCAATGCTGTGCAACTGGGCCCTCACTTCTGGGGCCCTAGATAGGTTAAGACAGGTCCTGTGCCTTCACAGCAATGAACAGGCTGGAGCCACCATTCTAAGTTGCTCCTGGGAATCTGGGGATAGGAGGGACATCAGTCACCTCTCCTGACTTCACTACAGGAACCTTAAGCCAATTACTGAGCAGACTACATTAACCAGTCAGGAAAATTAAGGCTCAGAGAGGTGGCACAGAGAGTTAGGGGCAGAGTTGGGCTAAAACTTAGTTCTCTGGATCCTGAGGCTGCTAGTCTTGCTCCCATTCCACCAAACCAGGAGACCAAAACTGCTGGGGAGTAAAGCGGGCCATGGGGTATGCGGTAAGGGTGAGACATTGGGAAGGCAGCATCTCTGACTATGAGGGGTGGAGGTGGCTCTGTGGCTGCTTTCCCCTCCTTCCCCTCTCCACCCAGCAGGGGTTCCTTTGCTGACTTCCCTCCCCCTCCTCCCACCCTGGCCTGTCAGAGAAATAGGGGAGAGAGGGAGGGGAAACTCAACACCCCTGCAGATGGTGACAGGCCCTGCTGGGTCCTGAGGTGGAGTGCTGTTCAGTCAGAAGGGGAGGAGTTTCTCTGTAGGCCTGGCACTTCTGGGCCTGGGACTGGGGTTCTCACCTCCTAATTATTCATCTTGTTACGCAAGGACCACAGCTTGTACCAGGAAGGCCTTTCTGATAATGAGTCGGACCTGCAGGAAGCGAGGGAACAAGCCACAAGGATGGACATGTAGGGAAGCGCAGGCCAGGCAGAGGGGACAGCCAAGGAAAAGGCTGCGAGGCAGGAGCCGGCTTGGTGTGTTGGAGAAACCACTAGGAGGCCAGAGTGGCTGCAGCAAGTAGGCAAGGGGCCTAGGGATGAGGTGAGGTCAATTTCCTGGGCCTGAACACCCAGCTCCTTACAAGAAGCTACTGCACGATTTGAGCAGAGGAGTGATATGGTCTGCTCGAAATTTGTTCACTCTGGCTGCTCTGTGAAATTGGGCAGGTCAAACGGAGAGCCAGAGGGAAACAAGAAAGCAATTAGGAATGAAGTGCAGAAATCCAATGTCTGAGACCATAGTGCTTGAAGTGGAGATGATGAAAAGGAGTCAAATCCTAGACATGGTTTGAGGGTAGGACTGGCAGGACATGCTGACAGACTGGAGTAGCATGGTCTCATATCTGTGGTCACTCCACACCACTATTGTGAGAACCGAATGAAATAACAGCCCTTTTTCTCTGCCTGGAGGATTTCAGGAGCCAGGAGCCACCGTGCTCAAGACCCCCAGTCTCAAAGTGGGAGCAGACAGTGGATGGGGAACCTGGGCAGTCACACAATAAGTGGAGCAGGTTCCAGACAGGCTGGTCCAAGCCCTCATCATCCCATTGGAGAAAATGACTCTCAGAGCATGACTGGTTTCAGTTTTAAACCCAGCTCTCCTGACACTTATCAGGACGGAGCCAATGGACCCAGCCTGCCAGGGCTGCCACCAGCACAAAACCCACTCATAACCAGGTCTTTACTCCTCTCTAGGCTTTGGTCTCCCCTCTGTGTAATAGAACATCACTCTCAATGGTCTCCATGGACCCTTCCCACCCTGAGCACTCTCCCACCCTTACTAGGACCTGGCCTGCAACGCAGGGTCTGAGCTTTCCAGATAAGAGAGTCAGCCCTCATTGCCCCTCTCAAGGCCCCATCAACCAACCTGAAGAGGTCCACTGGTCCTCTCCTAGGGCCAGGAGTGGCTCCTTACATCAGCTGGTGTCAATTAATCAGCAGGAGGGACAAATGGTGGGGGCGGCCTCCTGCCAAGTTAATCTAGGTCACCTGTGTCAATGTCAGTTTCAAGCACTGGGAGTGAGTCAGCCAGCCAGTGTAGAGGGAGGACCAGGATACCCCAAGTCACAGCAGCCCCATGTCCACACCCTCCCCACCCCAGTGTTTTACTCACCACAAATGGCATACTCTGCCATGCCCACCGATTCCACATTGCCTCCAGACACCCTGAGCTTGCCCTGGACCTCTGGAAGCTCTCACCCCTTTCTCCTCTGGTGCCTCTATTCCAGTGTTCTGCTTTCTGGCTTGTCCTCCCAGCATGTTATCCCAACCTTTAAGGCTTTCTCTTCCCAGCTGCCATCCCCGACCGCCCCAGCCATGGCTTCTGTCTCCTCTCAGCAGCTCTCGTCACTATGGTCCTTTGGGCTGTGAATCCACAAACTATTGAGTTGCCGAGCCCCTGAGACAGCCTAGGAGGCCTCATGTATGGGCAAGCACCTCTCTCTCCTTCCTGGTCTGCAGAGTTCTCTGGGTGGAAGATGGATGAGCCATCTGGGACAGACACATTCATTCTCCTTCATTAATGCACTGGGAGATTCCATGGATAAGATTTGTAAACTGTAAAGTGCTGTGCTCAGAGGGACCTGAGGTGACAGGTGGACTGGGGTGAGGTTACAGGAGAGACAGAAGATGGCCTCAGAAGAAGGCAAGATTTGGCAAGGGTACCTAGTGATGGATCCAGGACTCGGGGAGAGGCAAGAGGGAGACTGGAAGAAATGTGGGGTATGGGTCAGAGGTAAGGGGAAAATGGAATCAAGGGTGACAGACTCTTTGGGACTTGTAGTTCCAGACTGGGTGGGGGGATAACAGAGGGAAAACGGCCACCTGGAGAGGAGCTATGAGAGGACTAGAGTTAGAGGGAGGCAGTAAGGGGATGTGACCGCACCAGAAGAGGCCACTCAGCCCCTGCTTTCTCCACAGGTGACTGAGAGTCCAGAGGACCCCTTGAACATTTCCCAGAGTGTAGAATCTGTCTTCAGCCACCTGTCTCCCTCTAATAAGGAGACCATCATGGTCACTCTCCATGGAGCCACCAACCTTCCAGCCTGCAAAGATGGCTCTGAGCCATGGCCCTACGTGGTAGTGTAAGTAGCTGGCTAAGAGTGGGGCAGGGGCTGGTGTCAGATGGATCAGAAACTGAGGTATGGATATTTGGAATATATCCAAAGTTTGGGGCTGGGACTGTGATACCCAGAGGAAGGCCAAGTGTGCATCACACAGGGGCTGGAGGCTCTGCAAATGTGAGGCCCGGCATCCTCTTGCTGCATGGAAGCTACTCTCCAGGACTGGGGAAGGAAGAAGAGCCACTCCTTGATTCCACAGCCTGCTGGGTAGGACCTGGCCATAACCTGGTCTCAGCGGGCAGGGGCCCTGGACGCAGAGGCCTAGGCTGAGCTCAGTGGGGAGTTGGGGGTGGTCAAAAGAAGAAGACCTGAGACCCCATCCCACCATGCCCAATTCTGGGGTAAGGTACTCATGACCATCCTCCTCTTTGGCCCCCAGTCATTTCTATCATAGAGGCGTCCCTAGTTCTGGTTCTTTAATAGACTCCACATCCCCCTTCCAGCTAGCTGCAGTCATGGTGCGCACGTCTCATAGCCTGGTGTCTGAGCGAGGCCTGCCTTGCCATGTCTGCTGCTCACCTCACGGACCTCACTTCCCCCAGAAAGGTACCAAAGGGTGACAGTCTCCATTCCGCCAACCTTTTTCATATGGGTTTTCTCCACATTTTCTTTTTAGGAGTGCTTGCCCTAGTCCTCTCCCCAACACCTGCTGAAATTGCACCTTCAAAGCCTTTCTCATGAGACTCTGGCCTCCAGGCAAACACCAGAGTTGAGCTCTTCCTCCTCTGGAGCCCCACAGCAGTGGCTACACTCATCCAATTCACTTTAAATAAGTTAAATATGCTGCTCCTCTGTCCCCCAAACTGGGGCTCCCCAGGACAGGTCCCAGATCTCTTCTTCAGTTCCTGAACAATGCTCCTGAGCACAGATTTAGGGGCCAAAGAGCAACTGAGGCCAACACCAGGTTACTATGACAACAACCCTGGAACTCCAGTAGAGTGAAAGGAGTACAGAGGGCGTGCTGGAGACCAACAGGTGAAACACTTGCTTGTCTCAAAAATGCCATTTCCACCCGCCCAGTTCCCGGGTCCTCCCCTCCCCCAGCTCCACTTCTGCAGTGAGGAAGGACAGGTGGCAGAGAGCAAGCTTGTCAGGGAGCTCGCCTTCTCAGCTCAGCTATTTCCATAAACCAATTATCGCCCATCATCTCGGGAGATGGAGGCCCTGCCTATCACCAATCCAGCCTGGCGGCGGGCGGGGAGCTGGGCGGCCCCGCTGCTCCTCGGCAGGCATCGCGACCTGCGCCATCACCCGGTTGCCATGGGAACGCTCAGCTGGAGCCAAGCTGTCCCGAGCCCCGGTGAAGGGTGTGGGGGCGGGTAGGCGGTAGCGCTTCGCCGCACCCATCTCCACCCAGGAAAGGGGGCTGGGAGCAGAGCCTGGAGGAGGCTGCCGCCTGCGTTCCAGCGTTTTAGGGCTCCAGTCAGCTGAGCTGCCACCAGCCCAAGGTGGTGCTAATGAGATGCAAATGAAAGCAGAAGGGAGAGCTTCTGAGAAGGCCCAGCTGGTGGAACCTGAAAGGGGCTTTTAATGTAAGCCCCCAGCCCCAGGCAGGAACCCCAGAGGGAGGACCAAGGCCCCCTGAAGCCCTAAGCTTTGCAAAGAACATGATGTCCCTGGTATGTGATTCCAAATGCACAGTAACAAGGCATGCAATAGGTATAAATAAGTCCACTAAAGTTTTCACTTTTCTCACAATGAATATTTTAATGCTTAATATATATATTACATATATTATATATTAAATAGTATATTAAATATATACTAAACACACATAATTTCATATCTTTCCAAATATATGTTCTCATATTTCCATTGCCTGTGTTTTCTGCTGCCCTCAGCCTGGTCTCCTAGCTTAGTTTCCTGTTTCTGCCATCTTACGTTGTCTCACCTCAGATTGGAGGTGGGACCCTGAAGATTCCTGTGTCTTTCAATTCTGCCCTCCTCTCTTGGTTTGTTACATCCCCAGCAGTCAGGCCCATGGTGGAGGGGGTGGGGTGGAGGTTGAAGCATAGGCCAGAGAGTGCCCCAAAGCCATTTACTCATTCAGCCCATTAGTGGGGAGCTGGAGAGGGTTCAGGTCCAAAGATGGGGACTTCCTAGTTTGGGGTGTGGCCCTATGCAGGCTCCAGCCTTGAGCCAATTTAGTAATTGCACACACCTTCCAGTGGTAACTAGTCTAGGCCAACAGATCCCCTTGGCTCATCTTGTGGTTCTAATTCTGAGCCATTGCCTGCTTCCAATCTAACTCCACTTCTCCACCAAATAGCTTTCTCTAAAGTTGTGCCTGGCCCTACATCCAATTGTTGTCTCATCTTTCTCAATCTCTCAGTGGCATTAGCCCCTCGTGACCACTCATTCTATCTGAAGCCCTTTCTTTTTCTGGCTTCAAGATAACCCGCTCTCGTATTTTCCTCTCTTTGCACCCTTTTATCTCTTCTACCTGGTATTAATGTTGGCCTGTCCCAGGTTTTGACCCTCACTTGTTCTTTCTCTGTACTGTCTACATGATCTCATCTCCATCCTGGCATCAGTAATCACCTTCTTTCGCCCTCATTCAATTTATCACCAAGTCATGTCAATTTCTCTATCTTGAATTTGGCTGCTTCTCTCCACCACCTTAGGCTACTACTCTTGGTACTTTTTCTGCTCCTGGTACTTCTAATCTTGCCCCTCTTCAAACCCTATTCTAAGGCAGGTTACCATTTGATGCCATGGTGCCATACTACCAAAGAAACCCTTTCTTTGAACCCTCCAATGGCTTCTCATTGCTTCCAGAGTCAAGAGGATTCCAGATCCAGCATGGCCAGGTTTTTGCGGGCCCCTCTATCTCCCTAGCAACATGACCCCTTCTCTTTGCTCCAGCCACACCAGACATCTCTGCTCTCTGAGCAGACCCTGTTTCTTCCCACCCAAGACCTTTGCAGACTACTTTGCCCAGAACATTCTGCCTTCCCTTCCCCATCGCTTCCTCAAGGAAGCCCTCCCAGACCTCCCAAAGCAAGCTAAATCCTCCCCATTACATGCCTCCCTGGGACTATGTACTTCTCCAGTGCCGCTGCTGCAGTTTCACATTTTATGTCTGTTTATGTGAGTTTTTGGCTTACTCGTCCTCAGTGCCTCTGCCCATTGTGCCCAACTAGTTCCTAGAGCAACCACCAAGTCTGTTTTGCTCACCATTCTATCCCCACTATTCAACACAGTATCTGGAATATAGGAAATTGTCACTAATTATTAAATGTATGAATAAGCAGATGAATGAATGAATCCAGCCCCATGTCTATCTTGCTTTGTGACTTTGGGAAAGTTACTTCACCTCTCAATACTGAGAACCTGCCTCTAAGGGCAGTAGAAATAGAGCCAGACGGAGATAGAAGTATAACTTGGGGGATGAGAGATATCCTTAGCAGTGCTCACATCGAACATGTGAGATCTATCAGAAGAAATCCACAGTGCAGTGGAGAGAAGCCAGAATGAGATCAGGAAAACCCGTAGTCTGGCCCACTGCCTCCTACTCCCTATGTGACCTCACTCAGGCCAGTCCTTGCCCCTCTGAGTCCTGGTCTTCCCATGGCCAGGATGTAAGTTTTAGCCTCCATGCTGTTCCAGCCTTGCCATGCTGATTTGCTCTGGCCTGGGAAACAGTCTCAGTTCTTTAGAGGCAACAAGATCCCCACTTGTACTGCCCAAGACAGATTCTACAATCAGGTCTGCTGGGCCAGTGCCCAGGTCCGGGGTCTTCCCTGACTGGTCTGGGCCTGGGCTCAAGGCCCTGGGGCCTGAGCAGTGCCCAGCACCTGCCTCTTAGCTTGGCACAGAGAAACCTGCCAGTCAGAGCACAGCATGGACCAGGAAGGCAGTGGCCCTAACAAGTAGGGGTGCCTCAGCAGGCAGGGTGTGGGGAAGGGGCCAGCCAGGAGACAGCCTGGAGGGTTCTGATCACTGGCCAAAGCCTGGATAGCTGAACTGCCAGCTGGCAGTTGCTTCTTTGACCACTTGCTGACCAGAGCTAATGAGCAGGGACGCAGCTGTTTCTGAGAGGTGAAGGGCTGCTCCGTCAATACTCATGGGTCAGAGTTGGCCCAGGTTTGGGTGGGAGGAGCAGGGCACAGATCAGGGCCATTTAGTCATACTCAAAGAATCTTTGTTTTCTTGGATAAGTGTGAGTCCTTGACCCTGGTCACAAACTGATCCCTGGCCACAGAACCGAGACTGACCTTGGTCACACACAGCCCTGACCCTGTTTCTAAACTGAGTCCTAGTCGCAGACTGAGCCTTGACCTTGGTGACTAATTAAAGAAGTTATTGAAAGTAGGACAATTGCCTAAGATCCTAGTAAGAGATGAAGGAGGAGGGTTAAAGGTTATATTTATCAAGCGCCTACCATATACCTAGCAAATGTGCCAAGCGTGCATTTGTGTGTTATATATAATTTAATCATTGCTTTGTCCTGTGAGCTAGGTGAAATATTAGCCTCATTTTACAGATGCGGTTCCTGAGGCTTAGAACATTTCTGTGATTTGACCAAAGTCACAAAACTATTAAGTACCCAGGCCAGGATCCAGGATCCAGGATCCCCAAATCCAAAAGTTCTTTCTTCCTCATCCCTGCCTTGATCCTCATGCAGCAGTTGCCCTCTTGGAAGGGGACCGTTGGCATCAGCACCCTAAGCCAGACTTCCAGAGAAGACTTAGTGACTAGTCTGAGGACACTTCCTAGGATTTGGACTGCATATTCCTTCCTCTGTCTGGCTGTGAGCCTTGACCAACAGGCTCCAGAGGGCAAGGATTTGGGTGGAGTGGATGGAGGCCTGGTATGACTCACAGGTGACCTATAGGCTTGTGTCAGCAGCCATAGAGTTGGACTCAGCAAAAATAACAGTAATATTCGCAATGACTGTGACAGTGAGAATGATCATGGGAAAGTACCAGGGATAAAACAGCCCCATTGCTGATAATGTC